GTAGGTATCCTAGATGTTTAATTTTTTTGTAAGGTATAATCTTTTACAAGATTTATTAATAAAATGACATGATTTCCTGTCGAAGACATCTAAGTCCTTATTAATTTTTTTATTGCGATAAACTGTGCTATTAGGTCTATGTATTCATTCGCTGATATTATAGTCTCCCACTTTTTTATTAGTTTTTTTTACATTTCCAAACACTTTTTAAGCAGGTAAAGATGGTGAAAAGAGTCTAGCAGCTTAAGATAGTAAACAATGCTCCCAGCGATATTTAAAACATTAAAATACCACGTTATTCTATATTCTATTGGCAAATAAAAGTCTTCAACTATTTTATTGATTTATTCGAATACGTTTCGCTTTTATTTTTAAAAGTATCATCAGTTTGGTTTTGGAGTTTGGAGGCTTATGTGAGAAGTTAGTAAGAATGTTATTGGCAGATGATCTTAAGTCGAGAAGGTTGTTGGTTTCAGACTGAGATAGTATGTTTTCTATGTCAGACATGTATATGATCAGTAATGAGTATTCATCCTCTAGCTCTTATGATTGCTTGCATCCTTCTCGGCATGCTTGCAAGTAAATTTTGGACATATCCTTGGAAAATTGCATTCCAATCATACTGTGCAGCAAGCCGAAGCTGCTCTATCGTATTTGAAACGGGGTTTCTTTGTCGTATGCGGCGTTTTAGGTGATCCCACATATGCTCTTTCTTTATGTGCCGTCTTCTACCGAAGGTTGGCGACCATCATACGATAGGTTTCTCTGTTTTGTGCCGCATGAATTATGTTCGCAGCTTCTGGTATTTGAAACCATTCTCTCAAGTTTCTCAGCCAGAATTTCTTCTTTCTGCCCAAACCTCTTCTACCTTCAATCTTGCCTTCCACGATAAGCTGTAGCAGACAGTACTTATCATTACGGAACACATGGCCCAGGTATGACGCTTTCCTCCTTTTAACAGTTGTTAACAATTCCACCTCTTTACCCATTCGTCTTAATACCTCTGTGTTGGTCACTCTATCTGTCCAAGGTATTCTCAGTATGCGTCGATACAGCCACATTTCTAGAGCCGCTAACTTCTTTATAGTTGCTGCTGTTAACGTCCACCCTTCTACGCCGTAAAGTAGCGTAGAGAGTACGTAGCATTTCGTGGCGCGCCATCGGAGGTTAATGCTTAGGTTGCGGTTGCTTAAGAGCTTTCTCATTTTGATGAATTTGGATATTGCTATTTCAATTCGGATCTTAATCTCTACTTCTGGGTCCCACTTGTCATTTACTGTATATCCCAGATATTTAAATCGGTGTACTCTTTCAATACGTTCGTCTTCAATATGCAGGTCGATATGTTGAAATTTTTTTTTACTGATCACCATAAATTTAGTTTTCTTTCTATTGATTGATCTCTCAGTCCAAATCGGCTGCCAGTTGTATTAACTCTATGTAGCATCATCTGTAAATCTTCGATGTTATCGGCCAGTATAATAGTATCATCTGCATATCGAAAATTACTTATTGGTACGCCATTAATCTTGATGCCCTCATTGTACTCTTCTAGTGCCTCTAGAAATATTTGTTCCGTGTACAGGTTGAAAAGCAGTGGCGAAAGAATGCAGCCCTGTCTTACCCCTCTAGAAATGGTTATGTTTTCACTCACCATATGTCCATTCTTCATGTGGGCTGTTTGATTCCAATATAGATTTTTTATAATCTGGATGTCCTTAGTGTCAAGTCCTGAAAGACGTAATAGTTCTATGAGTTTGTCATGTTTGATAGTATCGAATGCTTTCTCATAGTCGATAAAACAGACGTAAACATCTTTCTGTTGATCCAGGCATTTTTGAATCAAAACTTGTATTGCAAAGAGGGGTTCTCGAGTTCCAAAACCGCATCTAAAACCGAACTGTGTTTTACTTATGCTGTGTTCTAATTTTGCTCGTATTCTGGAATGGATAATACGCAAAAATACTTTAAGGGTGTGGCTCATTAAACTTATAAGGCGATATTCACTACACGTCTTAGAATTATATTTCTTGGGAAGGGGCACAAATGTAGATTTCAACCAGTCCGATGGAATTTGACCAGTATCGTATATCTTATTAAACAGTTCCAATACTACATTCAGGTTGTTCTCGTTAAAAACTTTTAAGAATTCGACTGGTATTTCATCGCATCCTGTTGCTTTCCCATCTTTCGTTTGATCTATAGCTTTTATCACCTCACTTTTCAATATTTTTGGTCCATTCATACATATGCTCTATTGGATTTAAATCCGGGCAAAAGAGTGGCTAATCCAATCTTTGAATTTTGACCTCATCAAAATAATTAGTTACTATTGCAGCGGCATGTGGTCGAGCATTATCGTGCATTAACATGAATCTTTCATATCCAATGTAAACCGCATAAAGCAAAACATGATCATCCAGGATTTTTTAAACGTAAAAGTCACCAGTCATCCATCCAATTACTTTCATAAGTGCTGTACGTACCTCCTAACTAATACCTTCCCAAAGAATTATGCCACCACCTATAAAACTAATGGTCTGGGCGAAATTGCAGCTGGCGAAAAGAACATTTTTCAAGTTAACGATATTCCACTTTAATATGTGTTCTTGCAAATTCTGAACTACGAGCTTTATGATTTTGGGGAAGACGTAGAACTTTGGCGGGGTGCCTGAGCTTTAAGTTTGCTTCTTTTAATCTTCGTCTAACTGTTTCTGAACACATATTAACTTGTCTAACTATGGCGAAACTAACAAAAAAACTTAAACACAACGAACAAATGAATATGCCAATTAGGAAACAAAATTGCACTTGGGCTAAAACTGACATAGATAAAGCATATACTTTTGCAAATCATCTATGTAAGGTATTTCAACCGCATCAGAGGGAAGTCTTAGTTGAAGAAGAGCAGGCTATTCATGAAGTCATAAGTGCATCATATCAAATGGCTCCACCTATTAAATCTATTAAGAAATCTGAAATCAAAGAAATAATAGATAATCTAGAAATTAAAAAGTGACCTGGATATGACCTAATACCTAGTTTAGTACTAAAAAATCTACCCAACGAAGGCGTAAGTTTAGTTACTTACATATTTAATTCAATATTAAAAACATGTCATTTTCACTTTAAAGTTGCTTAAATTATTCTTATTCCAAAACCTAACAAGGATCACTCAACAATTAGCTTGTTGCCTATGATTAACGGCTTTTAACGGCTTTTTCTGAGAAGACTGGAGCTTATTTTATATGATATATTTTATATGAGAATGTTTTACCGAATTATCAGTTTAAGTTTAGGAAACAATTACTGTACTGCTGCATTTCTAGGTATCTCTTAAGCATTCGACAAAGTTTGGCATGTAGGTCTTATCTCTAAAATTAAATTCATATTTCCTCATCTAATAAGCTCACTTTTAAGATCCTACCTGACAGATCGATTCTTTCAAGTCGAAAGAGGTGGGGAAATCACTAACCTGTTTCCAATTTGTTCCGCAGTTCCACAAGGAAGCATACTAGGACCCACCCTCTACTTAATATACACATCAGATCTCCCAACGACGACCAATACAACAATCGCTACATATGCCGATGACACAGTTATCATGGCTTCAAATTCTACAGCAATTGAAGCTTCCTAGGTATTACAAAACCACCTACTTAAACTAGAGAGCTGGCTTAAACTGTGGCGAGTCCAAGTTAATAGTTTAAAATGAACACAAACAACATTTACTTTAAACAAAAGGTATCGCGCCACCAGTTTCTATAAATAACACTCCACTACTAGTTAGTACCGTCGTTAAATACTTAGGAACTCATTTGGATAGCAAACTTAATTGGGATATTCACATCTGGAAAAAACGCCTTCAACTCAGCTTAATCTACAGGAAAATGTATTGGTACATGAGTCGAAAATCAAATCTAAGCCTGGAGAACAAACTTCTGATATATAAATGTATCTGATATATAAAAGTACTGTGCCAGAACTGCAATGCCCCTTGGTACATTACGAATCACAGACTACACCACGATTTACAGTTACTAACAGTTAGCGAAGCAATTTTTGCTGTAAACTTTGTGTATACAAGACCAGACTATCCTGCCATCCAAATTTACTGTCCACGGGTCTGCTCAACATTTCACACGAAAGAAGATTAAAATGACCAGATCCTTTGGACCTCTAGTAAATATGGAGAAACAGAGCATAGTGTCATAGCGCGGTGAAATAACAAGATTATTCTGGTGTTTTCTAAATCATTTCTTGATTTTTTTCCATTTTTTTTAGTCTTGTAATACTTATATGTTAGTGATATTTATCTGTATTAAACTTTGTTTGTTAATTTGAAGTTTAAATTATTTCCTATATAATATATTATATTTATATTATGTCAGGTGCTTGCCACTGGGTGGCTACCCACTATGTTATTGTACATAAATTATACATATTGCTTATTGTTTGTAATGAGACAGATTGCAATAAACATTGGATGTTAAATAAAAAAAAAAACTTCATGGCGAAACCGACACATAAACTGTGAGACGAAATCAAGAATCTCTAAGGCCAGTAAAAGAATAATAATGACATACTCATCAGAAACAAGACCCGAAACAGCTAAAACACAGATAATGCTGGAAACAGCAGAAATGAGACTACTTAGAAAATAATGTAATGTAGAAGGTATAACAAGCGAAAATCAGTAGAATGGTGGACACAAGAAACGGTAAAATAGCAAGGGATCAATCGCCAAATGGTAGAACAAGTATCGGCCGACCGCAAGAGATGAAATGACGATAGAACAAAGAATAAAAACAAATAAATAAAAAATAGAAGCAGTTTAAGAGATCTAAGTGTGATATACACATCATGATAGGATAAGAGTAGAATCGATGTCAAATTGTCAAAGGCTGGCAAGGGACAGAAATATACTATGAAAAATCGAGGGGCAATTAAAGCTGCAGTATCACTGATAATGATGGAAATGACGAAAACAAAAAACTTACCCTTTTAACAATTGAAGGTTTAGAAACTGGGGTAGTTTTAAATACAACATACTCAAAAGCAAAAGCTTTCCCCGTAAATAATATTAAACACACTACAACACAAAAATTACTTTTCTGCAACATTGACATTGTTGCTATATTGTTTTATCAAAATGCATAACTGAATTTATAATTATTGCTATTGAAAGATTTTTTAAATTTGGTTTTTAAAGATTCAACTATTTCTATTTCTGGAATATAAAGTCAAAGTGTATCAATTGATCTAAATAAAAGTTTCCGTGCAATATTTAATATTTATATGGTGGAATTTCCTATCTTTAAGTAATTTAGTGAATAATGTCCAAAAAAATCAAAAATGGAATATACTAAGTTAATATTGCGTAAATGGAAATTTAATCAAATCTAAACATTTTTAGATATATCCTAGACATTTGATAAAGTCTGGCATACTAGTCTCCTACATAAAATTACAAAATTCTTATTATTAACTGCTTTAGAGTCAAATTATTAACCTACAAAATTAACATTTTTTGTGAGTAAAAAATTCTTAAAATACTCACGTGGAGTGGGGTTCCCAAAACGTGGGTCGCAATCAACCTTGGAACTTATGCATCACGGAATCATTAGGGGAACACCCTAATTATCATCATATTATTTTCTTTTTATTATTCTCGTATTACTCTCTTAACATCAGTTAAGATTTAATTGCAAGTACAGTGCGTCTACAGCCGCTTGTATGTATTTCGGCCTAATAGGCCTCGTCAGAACGGCAATTCATAGTCGCTCTGAACGTTAAAATAAATCTCTTCTTTCTTAGGAAGCAACTCTAACATTGCTTCAAATAGACGCAAATAGCGACATCTGATCTTAAAATCCGTAAACTAATTTTCGTAACCAAATTCAGAATTTTGCTTAAATCTCTGCCTTCTAAGAATTGCAAGGCAATTCGCTAAGTATTTTTGCTTAGTTGAGTTTTTTATCTAAGTAAATTAATTTCTGCAGTTAAAAAACGTTTTATGGATTATTTCAGATGCCCCTGAAGATGCTCGAGGAAGCGAAAGTACTTGGACAAGATTTAATTAATAAAAGTGTGCTCGATATCTGCCTTTCAATTGATCAAAGTTTGTTTATTCGAGCATTCAACCTTATATCAATTTGTTTTTTGTCTATTATATAATCATACTGACTTTTAGTTCTTCCATGTATATACAGTTGGTGACCAAATGTGAATGAACCTATTTAAAGATTTATATCGTGTTGTAACGTATGTCAAAATGTCAAAATTTTACAAATTCATATAAGGAATTATGTCCGTGGCCATCAGCACCACACAACCTTTACAGACTTTATACAGATTTCTTTTTTAAATTTAAATACACATTTTTGATTTTAATTAATCAGATATCAAAATGGTTAGGTGTCAAATGACAAACACAGATGCATCAGAGACTATATCAAAATTAAGACATATGTTTACTCTAATTGGTCTTTCGGTCGAATTAGTCTCAGACAATGGACCTCCTTTCAATTCCAGTGAATTTGTGGCATTTTGTCAAGCAAATGGAATAATACCAGTGAGGACACCTCCGTATCACCCTCAAAGTTATAGTGCTGCGGAGCGTAGTGTACAAATAGTAAAGAAAACTTTGGAAGAGGCCCTGTTGACCATTACGAGAGAGGAGATTAATAAACAATTAGTTATTCAGAAAATTCAAAACTTTTTATTGTCTTCTAGAATAATTTCTTCAATGACTACGGGGATTTCTTCAAACCTTCTTGCCATAATAGTTAGCATTAAAACAAATAAACAAATAAACAAAAAACAAACAAACAAAATTATGACAGAAAGGTAATATTATGAAAATTTTAAGTTATTGTTCTTATCTAGTATGTAATACTCATAGTATAAAATGCACGCATGCAAATGATATGAGAACAGACAGAGGTGGCGATAGAATCCTAGATTCTGAAGAGACCCAAAAGTCAGAAACTCGTATAGTGTGTGGTAATATGCCAGTGTTACGTGACAGTGTTACAATTATTTAATATTACCCACAGTGAATCCAAATTCGAGACACGAATTGGTTCAATTAGAACCAAAGGAGCCCATCAAAAATTCATCACAAGAAGAAACAAGACCATCTCTAACTAGAGATAAAACATCTATGGATTGCAATATTAGAACGCGCTCAGGAAGATTAGTAAAACCTCCCATTAAGCTTGATCTCTAACGAGGGAGGAGATGTTAGATATTAATCCTGCATTGGAACAGTAGTTACTTTAAAAAGATTTGAAAAGATTGGCTTGGGTGAGATTATGTCATGTGGTGTGCATGGACAGCTCCAAATGTGCACCTTGTTACAATTAATGGAATTATGTTAAACCGTTTAAGTTAATAAATAGTTATGTTTTGTTAGTCTGTGCTTTATTAAAAACACAACATGTTTCAGAGTCAGCATAGACAATTCACACTGCCATCAAGGTACACCTTCAAAAAGCTTTTAATAAACTTCATAGATTTTTATTCAACATATAATTTATTAAAACAATAACGCCTTGTTTTTATAAAGATATTAACATTATTTCGTAATACAGTCGGAAAGAGACTTATCTATCTATAATATTCTGTATTTACAATGAAACAACAGCTACCTACCATTTAACTCCTCCCCCAACTATCCACTTTCCACAGAATGTTATAATTTATTTACAATCTTTTTTATAATATATGGAAACGAAATGACAAACTGTAGATACATCTTTATTATTTAAGCTTGAGAAATCACATCAACTCTATAGCCAAATCAATGATCTAAAGAACCGACAACGATATCAAAAATAGTCTCTATGACATGAAAATGTAAAGTACAAATATGAATACCGCTTTATGTGAAAGGTTCATTTATTATTAAAGCTTCCGTGAGACCCTTAACTTCACCGTATTATTAGTTCCATATTTCAAATCAGTAAAATTATAACAAAAGTCAGTCAACAATACACTTTTGAAATATGCGGTGGTTATTCGTAATGATTTTTATTGTCCACGCAAGAACTGAAAACGCTTCCAACGTCAAAATCAGTAAGTCAATTAATCATTGGACTAACACAAACTTTTCTATCATAAAACAAAATTACTTTATTATTTATTGTCTAGTTGTTTACTAAACTAGCTACCCACATATTTTTAATCTGTAAAATAATGTCTTTATATACGAAGAGCATAATGTACATTTTATTAAACATTTTAATACAATATCATTGTGAATATTAAATTTTTATTCGTAAGAAAGTAATACAAAGAAATTATAAAGACAATACTTAATTGCTAAGAGTAAGGCAATCTCATTATATATTCAAAAAGAGAATGATCCTATACAGTGAGATCCAAATTATTAAACAAGTATATACTACACATTATGTGATATTGAGAGAGAGTTATAAACTCCAATTATGTATAGAAAATGAGTAAAAAGTTTACATTACATTAATAGTTTCTAAAGTTTGTAAGATTTTAAAATTCTTTAATCATTTCGAGTGTGTACTTGAACGAGGTAACATCGTATTAGTGTTTTGCTCCGAGTTTTAGTGCTTTTTGTGAAACCTAACAAGTACTTTTAAATACTAGTAAGACCAAACTTTACCATACGTATCGATAATAATTTCTTCAAAAACTGAGCCGGCTTTTAGTGGTGTAGGTCAACTTTTTTTTTTTAATGGCTTTGGATTATTGATCCATTCAGCCACGGTATTATAATAAATACTGTTTGCTACAATATTAAATACTATATACACATGCGCAGCACATATACAGACTTATGCACGCACATACATATATAGGCATTGTTGTATAAAAATAAAAAAAAATACAAAAAGGAAGTGGAAACATTAAATTGACCTCTATTTAAACTCTTCATTCAGGACCCTAACCAACTTAAATTAATTTACAAATAAGAAATATACAAATAATACTAAATGCTAATACTAAATGCTAATACTAAATGCTAATAATTAATAATTGTCACAGCGCTAAGACATAAACCCGGTTCAACACCTCGGAGGTTTAGGCCTTCTTTGTGATCGTTTTTTTTTATTTTATATTATTTTTTTTTTATTTATTTTTTTTTTCTATTTTTTTTTTTTAATTTTTTTTTTTTTAATTTTTCAGTTTTTTTATATATGATTTTTTATTTATATATATATATATATATATATATATATATATATTTTAATTTTATTTATATAATTTTTTTTTTTTTTGTTTTTTTTTTTAAATTTTTTTTTTTTTACCATATATATTTTTTAATTTTTTAAATAACAATGTTCGTATTTTACAGGGAGGTACTTAATATTACATAAGATTAATTATAAAAAACAATAATTGCCAAACACATTCAAGCCGACTCATTCATCCAAGTAAGATTTTTCTCTTAGTCCTTTTTAAAAATTCCCAAATAATCTGTTGTATTTTATGGTTTCGTCGAGACAAGTATAAAAGAGAAGTTTGGTTTTGTGGTAAAGGTATTTGTTCTTGAGACAGGGTGTGCATCAAATACTTAATTGCATCATCATTATGCTTGCATCCAAACAACCAATGATTAATATCATCAACGTAACCATTGCAATCACAAAGTTCTGATTCGGATAGATTTAGTCTATAGAGGTATGTCTTGACAGTGGTTAGGTCAACTTAATATGTATTTTTGCAAGAAAATACATAAAAACTAACTATATTTAACAAATAATTAAATTGCCTTGAATAAGGTTGAATGCTCAAATGAATAAACTTTGATAAAATTAAAGGTAGATATCGAGCACAATTTTATTAATTAAATTTTGCCCAAGTACTTTTGCTTTTCTAAAGCATCATCAGGGGCATTTCGTCAGTTTTGGGCTATCCAATAAGTGCAAAATGTAAGAAACCTAACATTAAACATAAAATTATACAAACACTACACTAAACAAAGACAAACAGTTTAGAACAGGAGAAAGACTTTATGTTTAATGTTATGTTTATTACATTCTGCACTTGTTGGATAACCCAAAACTGACTAAATGCCCCTGATGATACTTTAAAAAAGCGAAAATACTTGGGCAAGATTTAATTAATAAAATTGTGCTCAATATCTGCC